ACAATTAGCCAGCTTATTCTAGAAAATAATCATATAACATGCTCACTTATTTTGGAAAATACAAATTTACATCTCTTAGATCGTTAGATTAGACAATCCACAATGGTATTGTCGCAGCCTGCCCCCCTGCTAGCCTGCAGGCTTCACTCAACTTAGCTTCAATTGACTACTAGTCTAATCCACTCCATCGCTCCAGCAAGCCAGCCATCTTTTTACCATGGTACCGGTACCAAGTGGGAGCTTACAGAAAGGTGGTTGACTTGCTTGGCCGATGAGTAGAAGTCATGAGGCTTATATAAATTTAACTGCTGCTCTTTTCTCAACGTGCCCTCAACGCACAAGGAACCCGGAAAACCAAGTCAATTGATACCCCTCATTGCTTTACGGGTGAGTTAGTTGACTTGAATATTTTACTTAATGTATCGTACACCTTCTTTAAATCTTCAGGCAAGCAATTCAACGCAAGCACATGGTTTCTGGGGACCAACTTGACTTACTAGAATTGGGTCACAATTGATATTATCCTCTACTTAAGTTCCCTAACGGCTCCACCGTTAAGTCTACTCATCCAGCCAAGCAAGTCAACTACCTTTCTGTAAGCCCCCAGTATTATTAGTATGACTTTCCTGGTAACGACGGTAAACTTAGGGTTTGCCACACGTTTGGTCGCACCGTTCTTCGAATATCTTCTTTGCTCTTCCGAATTGACTTGACGTTTTTGGCTCACAAGTCACAAGGCAGGGGCAAGACAGCGAGACCTACCGCCGACGACCGCATACGACCGCCGCCGACCGCCGCCGACGACTTATTCAGACAGTAATCCTCTCGACCAAACCATAACACAGAACTATTACAGTATCTGTTAACCAACCACCATGTCAGCACACGGAGAACCACCAGAGGGCCTTATGTGCCTTGTAACGATGGAGGATATCACTAAAGAAGATAGTAACTATGGTGAGAATTGTGCCGTGTCCACCGCCCCCCAACCGATCATTCCATCCTAATTCAAGTTGTCTTTGATTTCTTGTCCTCGCTTATGATTTCAGTCGAATTCCAAGGCTCTCCTTCCATGAAATGGAAAGCAGCCATGTTTGAACAATCTGTAGTGCAACAATTACTGGACTCTCAATTTCATGATTTCGTGAATCGAGTCAAGACAACGGACTGCCAAGCCGAACTACGAAGACTGCTGGGAGCGGGTCCTCCTGTTTTTGTCAGTGACAAGCACGGATTCCCACTGGAAGAAGGAGATACACACGTTGTCAACCTTTGGTATGCCTCGGACAACAAAGAGCGACCGGCAAAGTTGGATGGGGCAGTCGAAGGGGAAGAACGACAGAAGCTATGGGAGGAGCTAAAGCAGTTTATTATCGTGGAAGGAAAAGAAGAAGGCGACGATGATAATGGCAATGAAGCCGACAACTCATGATTGAATGATTCTTTAATAATGCTCTTTGGCTGGACTAGTATGATGCTGAATTCAAATTTGTGTTTCAATATGCAATCAAGTTGGTCAGGTTGTTTCTTTTTCATCATGATGCAGCCCAGTCAGCAAATCATCCAACAAGTCCAAGGGAGAACTTTTCATTTCGTTACGGATGTGTTGCTGTCCTTTTACTGTTGTGCAATGGCTCCATTGGATCTCTGACTGAACCTGCAATCTGTAGTTCTGCTTGCATTGCTCGTCCTACTAGTCAGGTACCATACCAAGAGTATTGTGGTAAGGGTATTGCTGTTTCGCACTGCTGTGTTGTCAGCCGGTCGACCGAACATTATTAGACTCTCGATTTGCTATTCGTCATCAGTCCACCGCCAACCTTGCAATGATTTGTTCTTCCAAGGCAGCTTTCCAAACCGAAAAAGAGGTCATGAGGGTTTCTTGGATCGACTTTTTAAAGGCACTCTTGATGCCTCTGCGAACGCCTCCCACCAAGAACTTGTGCGTTTCCACCAACCAGGACGGTGGGTCGCCCAGCATTTTCTGGGGCCAGGAAACATGGCCAATGGTCCAGGGCTCGTACTGTTGTTGATTGCTGCCACTGCTCGGATTGTCGTCGTTGTCTTTTGTTTTTAATTGCTTTGCTACTTGCGAACGTAGTTTATCCCACTGAGGAAAGAACCATTTCCATGTGCGCGTCCACAGCTCGGTGAGCAACATGGTTCGAATGGTCTTGCCAATAATGGGAACGACCTCGTATTGAAGATAGGGCAACATGGCAGGTTGTCGCATGAATTGAACAATGATCAGCAAGTCCACCAAGGCAAGTTTACCAGGATGCGCCCACACCCAGGGGAGCCACGCCACGGCCAAGGCAGCTTGAAACTTTTTGTTCAGGACTGTTTTCCAAAGGGATTGCGCCGAGGAGGGATCCCAGAGAAAGGAAGAAATGGCCAACAAGACCGAACTACCCAAGATACTCCAAAAGATTGGAGTCGGTTGGTCGTTTGCCTTTTTTGCGCTAGCAATCTGTTGCCGACGCTCGTCTTCCAACTTGAGTAACGTTTCAAAGGAGCTTTGCTGATTGGAGTTTTGGATGGAAAGATATTCCACTTGCTGGACGAGAGAATGGTTCTTCATGCGGTTGCTTCTAAAAGTGCCGCTGATACTAGTATTCTTGCTGGGTGTTAGCCGAAAGTCTTCCTCTTCTTGGCGAATGGGCCGTGTGGCTGCCCTTCGAGCGCTATACTCCGTGGTGGCGGAAACGGATGGTGGCCTTGCCGGGGGAGGTTCTCTTTGTTTTGCATTGGATGGATTTTCCTGATGAACGGTTACATTAATGAGATCTTCTGATGCAGACGATGCTGGGTCCTTCGTCATTGTCGCTTGTGCCGAAGCGGGGGCATGGCAGGAAATTGCCACGAGGCAACAAAAAAGCAGCAAGGAATCCAGAGATCTTGGCCTCTTTCCAATGTCTGAATCTCTCATTCTTCAGACTTGGTGGCCGTCAATGGCTTCTGGATTCAAGGAAAGTGTATTCTCTGTTGCTGCTGGAAGTCTAAACTGACTTTGATATTATGTGCGAGGCCAGCTACGATCGATAGTGTGTAATGTGAGGCTGGGTGGAGATGGAGGATCTGTTCGAAGGGTTCCGAGAAAAATAACTGGACACGTCATCACGTGGCGGGATACAACAACCACGAACGAACCAGACCCGCAGCATCAACAACAAGGCAACCAACCGACCAATGACATATTGTTGGGAAGTCAAGAGTTTTATTTGGAACAATGGGAAACACTCCATCATCAACAAAACCAACACAGAAACGACGCACGTTGACCTTGCAACAACGAGATCTCGATAGAGGGCATTTTGCACGCTACGATCGGCGACATATGGGGATGGAAGCTTGAAAGCTATGCTGGTGCTTACGACGACGCATTGAAGTTGCGTCGGTACGACAAGCCCCAAATGTACGAGCGACTGGAGGACTTTTGTCAGCAGAAGAAATCCGCCGCTGAAGCTGGAAAATAACTCGGAGAGTGGCTGACAAGAACGACCGTGGTCACACAAAAGTCAGACGAAGAAGAAATCGAAGTTGATGAACACAAGCAGAAAAAACACACGAAGAATTTCATTGAACCATACACGCCAGCCGAACGTGAGGTCTTGATTTCAATCATGGCTGGAACGAATCGAGGCCGGACACATTTTCCGACTGCAACGTATTTTGGGGCAAATTTATTGAATTGGTATGTGGTGCCGACACTGGGAAGAATGATGAGGGAACTCGGCAGACCATGGTGGACATTGTCAAGGACTTTCGCGTGAATTTGCTTGGGCTGGACGGGAACCAGGATGAAATTTTTGAAAAGCTCAAGACTGGCATCCTCCTTGCTATTCCTCTGCTCGAGAATCCGGCCGGTTGGAAACAGCAAGATCCTTATGAGATTTTGATTGTTTGTGACAGTCCGGCTGCGTACAAATCTTTTTCTCGCCACACGGAAGAAAAGCATGTTCACTGGGCTACAGTACCAGATCTGGTGCTTGCCACAAATGTTATTGCGGAGACAGCCAAGGCCATGGCCGATTCTCTGGATAAGCATTGGGACGAGTATTACAGTCAACGGGGCAACAACGGTACGCAATACCAGCTTCTATCACGTTTGAAAGATTATCTTCGAAACGATGGTGGGGAAAGGGGGTCAGGGTTCCTGATATGAAGAAGGACATTTCGAGCTCCATGCTTCAGTTTGGCAAAGACCATTTCGATCTATCCAGAATCATGAACAATCAAGAAGTCAAACTCATTAAGATTCATCTCGGAATGCTTTACCGAGATGAATCTGCCAAGTACATCCCGGACCCGTGGTTGATGGCGTTGAAAGCTGCCGCAAATTGGTCCGCCTTTGCCTACCCACGACACCACGACAAGTACTTGAAATTGGCGCCTGCTTGCGACGACGATGACTCTACCAACACCAAGAGCCTGCCGGTGGTCTCCTTCCTTTCCAGTGAGGTTATAAACCAAAGATTCCGGGAGGATATGCTGCGGCGCAGGGAAGCAGAGGTGGAGGGAATGAGCTTGAACATTGGTTCTGATGATGACGATTCCGTTTCAACGCTTCGAGACGAGGATGTTGCTGCCGGGAGCTAGCTGGCCAGCAAGCAATGGGCTACTTGGGCTTTTTCTTGTGGGCGTGCTATTTGCTGTATGTGCCAGTGATCGAAACTGCCTCGGCGAAGACATTCTCGTCGTCACACATGTCACTCCGAATGGTCACTGTTGCTTGGCGGGGTCGTTCAGCGAGAAAATGGACAACAAGTAATAGAGGCAGGACGAGAGGGATTTTTTGCGTCCAGAGATGGCAGAAGTGGAAGTGGACGATCTTAGCCGCATCCCTCGGAGCATCAGACAGATGGAATTTACCCCTTTCATCCATACACCAAAACCAAAGATGCGAATCAAACGCTGTGTGCAGCCTTGCCTCAAGGCTTATTCCATTATGTATCATACAGAATCAATAGTCCAGAAGCCTTTTGAGCAGTACTAGTATCTCGTTCAGAATCTTTCCTTTCTGTGGCCGTTGGAAACATGCTACCTGGTACAACCTGTCTTTCTGCGGAGGTATCGCAGCTCCCGCTGACTTATTTCGGGTGAAGACGACATCGTGCCGGTGGGATCACCAACGCTACGAACGAACGGGCCAGCAGAAATTTCCCTCCTTTCTTCGAAAACGGAACTTTATTTCACGACAACCCCGGAGCCGTCCCTGAGCTTCTTTCGATCGCCATTTGATCCTGGAAATCGTTTCCAGCGCCTCGACGATGATGGGGATGAGCGAGTGGCGTGTGCCGCTGCCACAATGCTGTATGTTCGATGAACAACTTCATCTCAAGTTGTAGCTTGAACCGGCTCATCGAAGGTTCATGAAGTCTTACTCCTGACGAACCACGTTCAATGAAATGACGACACGAAAACATGCATGCTACATACATAGATAAGATCAAACTAAAAGAGCACTAACAAATTATTCGTGCCATGCTCGACTAAGGTAAGGTTTCCTCCTTTCTTCGTCTTGGTTGTAGATTACACGTAGAGCCTCCCATCTCCCGACACTGTGTAAACTTCCGTTTCTGGCCAATGAAGAGCCGACTCATCTCAGTGGCTAACCTCGAGAACCTTAAGGAATCGCTTGGTTTGATCGTATTCAAACGAAATCACAGTTCCTTGTTTCAACAAAGTACGTCCAATCTTGGTGTTACAAGGCAGCACGTCGCTAAATTCGTGGAAGTGAACGTTCTGGAGATCCCAAGCAGTGACGACGTTCTCTGGAACAACTTGGACAGGACGTCGACTACGTGAGACTTGAAATGGATCGCGAATCTTTGTTGCGTACTGGTAGGGCGCGATCTCCATCGTCCAAATTTGGTCGTCAGTGTGATACGTCAGTCCACCAGGTTTTCGTTGCTTCTTCACGGTGGTTTCGCACAACGTATCGGCGATCTGGTGGAAAGAATCGTGCTGGTTCAAAACCATAGTCTCGCGCCAATTCGGTTCACCTCGTTTGGACCATTTCCTCGGAGGAACTTCAGTAATTCCAAGCCGCACTTTCATTGTTGTCGTCTTGCTTACCCTCAGTGTGTGGTACACTTTCTAATGCACCAGCAATTGCGTTCCTTTTGTATCGACGCTGTGTTGGCCTCTTCAATTTCGGGTTCATGTCATTGATTCGTCATCCACACCATCATTCATCGATTGATCAAGTCTCGCAAAAAAGAGCCGTTTTTCAGGTTTTCAGGTGAAGGCGATCGCGAGGCGCGCATGATCCAGGGAGTTCGGTAAAGGTTGTTGTGGGATCGGTTTTTCATTAACACTTGCACCTGGCAATCGTGGACAAAATGCACCAACTACCTGCCACCAAATATGTCACACCGCGGAACGCAACATTCACATCACAGGTGGCAAACTAACTAACTAAGCCCGCACTTTTCTTCGATCTTTTGAATCTTTTTTGTTTCTGCCCTTGCCCTTTTTGGAATGAAATCTTTGGTTGGGTGTTCTCGGTTGCGCAATCCTCACGACTCTGCCTTCCTCGTCCATTGCAAATCCGGCCAATGCTGCGAACGCGACATTGAATTTGTGCTCGTCTTCGGATCTGTAGTTATTATCCAGGGCGGTCGCATCATCGTCTTGTCTGCTGTCGTTTTCATTCATAGCAATTTCACCGTCTAACAGTTTGCCAACTTCCTTGGCCGCTTCCCGGATCAACCATTCCACTCGTCCCGCTGCGGCCCCTACAGCTCCTGCAGGAATGTACCGACCCGTGTTTCGGAATTTCGACACGGTCCTTCTCAAGAGTTCCTGACGAGAGACGTAGGGGAGAAAGGGCGAGACCCCCCAAGCAATAAACTTGACCGGTCGTCCGGCCGTTTGCGCGGCGCGCAGTGCGGCGACATATTCAGCCGGCTTTGTGTTTGTGTTTCCCCATGATACTGGTGTAGTGGGAGGTAAATTGGTTAGCAACTCTTGCAGTTGTAGTTCGGCGCGATCCAGGCCACCACCAGACGAAAAGATGGCATGAGGGACAAACAGATCGACATAGGGAGTTCGAATCAGAGCCCTTGCCGAAAGCAGTTGTGCCGAAGTCGCATTGGTGACAGCCGTCAAATTATGTTCCGGAAGCGACGATGATGATGGTGATGACATTGTGGTTTCATCCTTGTCATGATACGGCAGTTCATTGACACTCACGTCGCCCGTGGTGGTCGTCAAAGCGACATCGCTGCCGGCATCCTCCTGCTGCAGTTGCATTTGAAACAAGATTTCTCCCACGGCCTGTACCGATACCCGTTCTACAGCCACAATCAAGTCTTCGGCAATTTGCATGCGTCGATCTCGAAAGAATTTGACGGTATCTCCTGCCTGCAGTGCTTGTTCTCTGGCCCTGTCGGCAAACTCTTGGGGTGTCATTCTTCCTGCCACTCTTAAAATGATATTGCGTATTTCGGCATCGGTACTTTCGAGTCGAGGCGTGGATGGGCTACACAACCGATCTCGGACCGTGGTGCCGGAATCATCTAGAGTGGTATTGGCCAATTGTGGATCGAGTCGGGTTGCGGGAAAGAGGAATCCTGCCAATGGAATTCGTTGATACACATTGGATTGTTCGTCCAATGCAACTTCAGTTTTGATTTCTTCGGAAGAGCTCTTCTTCTTTTGGTTCAGCAAGACCAAGTCAGGATCATAGCCATCCTGTTCGAGCTGCATGCGCAAGGCGCTTGTCTTTCCAGCACAGGGCGGCCCAATCGTAATGTAGACGGGAGCTGATTTGGGCTGTTGAGCTCCTGATAAGCGTGTCTTGGATTTATTTTGGTAGTCTTTTCCTTTGCCCTCCTCACTATTGTTGCTTGGCACCCAAAGCTTTCGAAGCGAGGAATCACCAAATCCAAAATGTTCATTGGTATCTTCGTCTTTTGGCTGTCTCTTCATGAAAACTGGCTTGAGCTTGATATTTCTCTCGTGCCAGTTTTGGGTCTGCAGTCTGCCTGAAGGCAATGCATTAGGTAGAAACGCCAAACAATCATGGAACCACAAGAAGCAGCAGGCGCCTTGCAGAAGCAACGCCCACAGTGCTAGCGGAAACATTTATTTATTTGCAGCTTAAATCTGAAGCCAGCAGTCGCCACTTTTCTTTCTGACCAAGGACGGCGTAGATTGTCGTAGCGCAAATGGAGACTGATGTACAGTACCACTATTTGTACGGTGTGCGATGTTGATTAGCGGACAAAGATGCGAGGGTCGAGAGACGTTTTCCAACTATTCTAAGGCAACAGGAAAATATCTTTGCTACCCTTTCTCAAGGTTGCTGCAACTTCTGTTTTGGGTTGCACATGATTGCTTGATTATGCTGGCAGAGCTTCTCTTTGTCCTGAGTTGGTTGCTGTTGATTGGTGGTCCACGAGAGGAAAGGTGGATGGTTGTGGTGTGCTTTGCCTGGTTGCAGCTGGTCCATTGAAAGAGAAAAGGATCGCGAAACTTCAAGATGCATCAGTCACGAACTGTGATTACTAATGACTCGACTCAACAACATCTATGCATACTAGCTAGCTAGCAGCACGGTACTGTACGGCTGTACCGGTACCTGTGTAGCAGTCCAGAACGTCTAGTAGAGTACTATCATAGCTAGTACTTGCTACAGTCGTACTGCAAGGGGAAGCCAATAAATCAATCGGTTCTCTAATCTTGCTTGATAGGAAGTACATGTAAGTTGGATTTTGAGGAGATGAAGAAAAGTTTGCCGAGACGCAGCAGTCGCGGCGCTTCGTTTCGTTGTCCTGCCTTTCCATTCAGTACGGTACAGTACTGTATACCTTCATTGTTCCTAAAATGTGAATGTTTTCTCCATTGGACTGCACTCTATTCAGCCTGCGAAATGTTCATGTTTCCTCCATTGTCTTACCGGTACACTCTATTCGTCATCTGATTCTGATTCTTCGACCCCAAGAGGTCCGGCTCGAAGTTCCGTATCGACAAATTGATCTTCGTGATACGTTAGGGTGCTCACTCTTCCGCCTTCCCAGCGAATCTTAAGCCAAAGTGTCTTAGTCACACGAGGGCATGGATCTCCAAACAAATGGATGTACCAATATCGAGGTCCGCCTGGAGGTTTCTCCAAGATCAGCCGCTTGTTGTCTTGCTTCATCAGCAGGTATCGTAGGATCGTGGTGACATCCGTGACGCCGTTTTGGCGGTCTCCAAAAGTCGCAGCTATCAGCAATGGTGTGCTCAAGTTGCGGTTGGCGTCCCAGTCGTAATCATCCATCCCTGCATCAAAACGAATTCCATGCCTGTTGAAGTACGCCGTCATTGCCAAGACTATATCGGGCATCAAAGAAGGATGGTAGAGTCTAGCCCAAAACCTTTCGCCACCATGTTTCCGGACGAAACGGCGATGTATTTCTCCTCTCACATTGTACTTTGGACTCACAAAAATCATGATGAGCTTTCCAAGCTCCATTTTGTGGTTTCTGGATACATGATCCATGGAATGAAATTCCAAGATCTCTCCAACTATGTATGTACGGCACATGGCGTTCATCTGCCTGCAAGTGGACGAACCGCTCACAAGATCGTCCAGGGTAAGGAAGGGGACAATGTACTCCGTAAAAACAGCTCTTCCGGCGCTTCCTTTTTTGAAAAAGTCATTGAAACAAAAAGGCTCCAGCAGACTGCCTCGAGACGCAGAGGGACCCGAGGACGACAACTTCAGCGCCCCAAAGCTCTTGGTGATGTCCGTGTCCATGCTCGACGCTATCGTACATGTATTCGCAATGGAGCAATGCCCGGCCTCAAAAATTCCACCTCCATCGAGTGTTACCCCCTTTGGTGGCATTCTCTTATCAAAAGATACTGCATTAGCGGCTTTGGAGAGAAACACGACGGCGGTGCTACTGCGATTGAAATTTTCACTCATCACCTTCCAGTTTTGCCTCACCCGTGAGCTTCTTGAACATATCATACTAGCTAGTATAGTAGTGGCTCACCCTACTCAATAATCTATGTAGACAGCCGGCATACCAGTTCAATGTATGGCTCTTCCGGATTGGCTTCGGAGTGGGTTCAAAAGCTACGTGGCTGGTACAAAATCGCTAGAAGCTCGCCAAATGACATCATAGTTATTTAAGGGACACCTATAATATTATTATTATCACTCTTCGATCCCTCCGTCAACTCACATCAATCGTCCGTCGAACTTGCCATTCATTGTCATAGTCTAGTCGTTCGTAGCGATGGCGTCGCTATTACCGGTATCCTTTTACTCTCTCTCTCTCCCTCTCTCTCTCTCTCTCTCTCATGCAGAGGAAGCTCCCATGTGGTGGATTTGGCTGGAGACGGATTCAAGGAGGAGCGATGAGCGGAAATGGCAAGGGAAAATTCCAAATGAATGTGCCCCACATCATGTACAAGGAGTTGGGCTGCTTTTTTCCAGCCATTTGACTGTGAGCGAGAGCAGCTCCAAGCAATGAAGATGATTTCTAGGATGCTCATTGTCGTCTCCTCTGGCCATGTATCTGGCCTTGGTGTCGTCATCAACACAATGGAAAAGGAAAACAACAGCAGGGAAGATATCTCCTCCCCAAGCGCCGCGAGGCCACCACGGAGGAGTTACAGCTCGCCAACCATCCCTTCAATCAACGACAACGCAAAGAGGAAACAATCCGATAGAACACCAGCATCACCAAGCCAGACTCCGATAACTCCTGTCGTCCACAAGAGGATCCATAATGTTGCCGCTAGAGTTCCTTTTGGATGCGTCCAAGGCAGAAGGAGTCTATGTAGACTCTTCGACTTGACTGAGGCGGAGAGCAATCCTTTGCCAAAGCGCACTCAACAGATGGTGGAGTCAGTGCTGGCTCTTTTCCGAAAAGACGATTCGATTCAAGCACGATGGTGGCCACTCTCAACAATTGTGGGTGCTTGCCAGCGTCTTGCGAACTTTGACCGGTCGACTCCCCTTGTCAAAGATACGTATCGTCTTCAATTTTCCGTGGACACGACACTCCAAGGTTTATTGCATCCATCATTCATTGATGTTGTTGGCGATGTGGCTTCACTGGAAGACGGATCAAAACAAATTTACATTCGTCAAATTAAAAAAGAAGCAGCAATTTACGCAGATTTCTCAGAATCCGTTCCACGGTTGCCCGAAGCTGCTGTCAGGAACGCCTCGGAATGGATGCAGGAATTGAGAGCCACTCGGCTGTCACTGAAGCCATACATGTCTCTCGAAAGTTATGCAATGATCAATTATTGGTACTCTACCGAAGCGGAAAGTCTTTTTGGTGCAAGAGAAGGGGAAACAGCGAGAGAGGCCGCCCAAACGCTCCAGGCACTGCTGAGAGATGCTTCCAAGAGCACTGAACGTGCTAAAGAGCTGATTATTGGTCTTGGCAAGACGGATTCCAAGACATACTATGTTGACAACTACGATGGAGAACCACTGGAAATGTCTTTTGATGGTATCAGAGTTGAAAAGCTTGCGACCGCGATTAATAAGAGAGCATCGTATTTGGTCCGTGCCATTACTCTGATGCTTGAAACCGATGCCGAAAATGAGCTTCCCAATTTCGCAGACAAATGCAAACAGGCACTGGCAGAGGTCCAAGCAATAACGTTCGATACTTCAATCACCAGTTCACGGATGATCGGGGAGTGGCTGCGGCAGTTTCGAGTACATCGACGGTTCCCTAATCCCTTGATGAAAGAAAGGATTGGCATTGCCCTGTTTGTTAATCACCCAAAAGCTGCTATTGCCATGCGAGACTATGGGAACAGCAACATCGAGAAACTCTCCCTTGAGTCTATGGGAGACTTTGTTCATGACACTCTTATTCCAAAGCTTGCTGCGGAGGAAAATGTTACGAAAGAGAGATTTCTGAAAGCAAATGGACTCAAAAATGTGAGCAACGATACCATCCATCGTTGGCTCCGCTTCCTTGGCTTCAGGCGCTGCGTGTACAAGAAAGGTTTCTATGTTGACGTGCATGAAAGACCCGACATTGTAGAGTCACGCATCAACTATTGCCTTGAGCTAATGAAACTGGAAGTGCATTGTGCTGTTTGGGTGCAGTTGACGGCCGAGAGAGTAAATGAATTGAAGGAAGCAAAAAGAATCAACCCTGACAATCTAGGCATTCCTGTTACGAGTGCTGCTGAAGGAGGAACCTCGCTCCTGGAATTTCATGTTGATGATGTCTTGGATTCCGAAACCCTACCGGAAGTTGCGGAAAGTGATGACGGTAGCAAGTTTGGTGGCAATCATAGCCTCAGGCTTTCTCCTGATGACGATCGATACATGATTTGGGGTCAAGATGAGGTTGTTTCCAATGAAAAGGCGATGAATTCCATGGCATGGTATGGGACTGAAGGCCAACAAGCGCTTCGCCCCAAAGATTTGGGTGCTTCGATCATGATATCTGGCATTGTAAGCAGAGAGGCCGGTTGGTTGCCAACGCCTACTTTTGAGCAGCTACTGCGTATTAACCAAAACAGAGAAGGCAAGATGTATGTTGCTACGGAAGCTGCCATTGCTGTACTGGGCAGTGCGAACAAGCGTCCCTTGACCGAAGAAGATATACGGTTATATACTTTCTGTTGGCACATCCAGCCAGGCCAGAATAATGACGGGTACTGGACCAACAATCATACCCTCGTCCAGTATGAAAATGTTGCCGACGTTGTCAATGTGATGTTTCCGAACCACAAGCACGTCATCTGCTACGATCATAGCCAAGGCCATTGTGCCAAGCGAAAGGATGGTTTGGATGCCGCCAGGCTCAACTTGTATCCAGGAGGTCGGCAACCGTTGATGCATGACACGTCATTATCAGCAGGGTGTATCGGAAACCACGACAACAACGGATTGAGGCTAGAAGTGGGTGCAGTGCAATCAAGTGTCTTTCGTGAGTCTGATCAAGGGCCAGCTTGGATGACGCCAGAGGAGCAAGCTGAAGGAAAATACGACAAAACTTTTGATGGAGAGGTAGTGAAGCGGACTTTGCGATCAAAGAAGGAGATTCATGCATACCTGCGTGACAAGCTTGGTGAAGCTTCAGGATTGCCCGCAGATTGCTCCCACCTGTCCTTGGCATCGTTACGAGATGTGGCAAAGAAGAACAAGCTACTACCAATGGTTGTGGAAGAAGTCAAGAAGCAAAAAGGATGGGTAAACGCTCCAAAAGGAGCGCTGCAATTGTGCATTGAGCGTGGCTTGATTGACTTGAGCAACGTGACGAAGAAGAAGAAAAGCTATTACACAATGGACGGCCGAAAGGATCCCAGGAATCCTGGCTGCATAATCGAAGGGACGAGTCTTCGACTGCTACTCGAGCAGTGTGACGATTTCCGACGAGAAGTCTCGATGCTAGAATGGGTTGCGAAGCAGTACAACTGGAGAGTTCTGTTCTCACCGAAGTGTCATCCTGAAATCGCAGGTGTTGGTATAGAGTACGATTGGTCCGTGGCAAAGAATAAGCTTCTGCGCATTCCACTGGCTGAGCGAAAAGGAAAGGACAAGTTCCTTGACAAGGTGCTGAACGTTTGCTTCGACAACAAAGCTACTTTGACGAAGAGAGTGGTCCGTGGTTGTGCTCGTAAAGCAAGACAGTTCGTCATTGCTTATCTCCTGCTTCATGCAATCGAAGCCGCCAAAACAGAAGACGATGACAACGGTGGCAACGGCAACCAAGCTTTGACTGGAGAGGTTTCCGTGGAAACAGTTCGGTCAAAGAAAACCGAGCTCAAGTTCGCAACTATCCAGGCCGCTAGAAAGATGTACAAGCGACACCGAGGCATTGCTATCTTCAACCGCGATGCCGATAAAATATCTTTCAGTAGCAGCGAGAGCATTGCGGAGTTTATGAGAAAAGCCAACAACAAGAAATAGGTAGCTTATATTTTATACTAGTAGCTGCTTCGGATTTGATGTAATAGACTCGTTGAGCCAATCGAGATGGCCATTGAACACCGGATAGATACAGCAGTCCTGACGAGAGGAACTCCGTTGGTGTCAGCTTCCTTTTCGACTAGGCCATCGCTTCACGCTTCGATTGGTCGGCATGGATAAGAGCAGGACGGAACAGCTTTGCAACGCGCCTGTTCTCACGGTGGAACGGCATTGTAACTTGGAGTTTCGTAATGGTAAAGCTTCCCACAAACGTCACAACGTCAACCAAGGCTCTCTGCGGTCCATGAGCACCATTCATCGTCTGAACGGCTCTTGTTTTGTTAATACTCCAGTCGGCTAGAGGCGGCAAATACAAGTGAGAGACGGTGGAGTCACAACCTCCATCCACTTGAAGCCGAAACTGACAAGTTGAGCCCCGCAACTTCTGAAAGGTGCCCTGACCAGCCACAGCCTTGCCGGAGCCATCAGCCATCCAATAGTATACATTGCACTGGAAGACCATGACAACACCACGTCCATCCCCAGCATCAGCCATGACAGGATCCCAAAGCTGATTCATTGCTGCTTCTTTGTGTGTAGGCGTTGGTTGGTAGCTTATTGGCTGTTGCTGTCGGTGGTGCTGCTGTCGGTGGGTGATGTTGCCGTCGGTGGATTGTGTGCTGTCGGTGGCTTGTAGCCGTCGGCTAGTGCACGGGCTGTCGGTGGATTGTGAGCTGTCGGTGGACTGTATGGCTGTTGCTGTCACTGAATTGTGGGCTGACGCTGGAGGTTGCTTGTGGACGAACTTGTGGCAAGTGTGGCACCTTCACTCCAAAGCCGCGGCAAAATTCAAATTCAAATCGTCGTGAGAGCATGGGAGGATCAGTCGTCATGAGAGGATCAGTCGTCGTGAGAGGATCTCATAATCTCCTCGCCAAGCAATCTCCTCGACCAATAAACCAAACCAAAGCAAAACAACATCATGGTCAACAACAAGGCATTCCATTCTCCATCTGACGACAAGGTTGGTTACAGTGAAATGAAGAGGCTCACCAAACGCATCAATCAAGCTCTTTTTGATGATACTGATGATGCTCTTTCCAACCACATCTTCATCCATCACAACCCATTCTCCCAGAGTGAGTTGGATGCAGTCATGACCTTCATCAGCAGCCATGCCATTGTCACCTCTGTCAAGCACACCATGGACGCCATTGAGACAACCACTGAAGACGGCCGCAAGGTCAACATCACTCTCTTTTTTGGTGGCATTTGCTTCAACAGAAAGATCATGGAAGCCAAGAAGAAGCAGCGAGCTCCTCGAGAGTCCATCGAGTCAACCGACTCTACCTTCGAAGCCTTTGAAGACATCACTGGCCAAGGATTGACACAAGTTGTCGATATGTTCGTCGACGGAAAGAAAGAAGTCGACGGAAAGAAAGAAGAGGGCTTGGACTTGGCTCTTTTTGAACACGTCGACGAGTTTGACCTTGACGATTAGAGCCGACTCCAATACCGGCAGCAGCCGCTCAAGTCTTAACTGTAGAGTGGTGCTGTTGCGTCGTTATGAACGAAAGGAAGAGGAAAGAGGACGTCATGGTGGTGTTGTGCTCTTCGATAGCAGATTGATGTGCTGTTACGGAGGCACAAAAAAGAAAGAATAATAATAATAATAATATAGGTGTCCTTTAAATAAAGATGATGTCATTGGCGAGCTTCTAGCGATTTTGTACCAGCCACGTAGCTTTTGAACCCATTCCGAAGCCAATCCTGAAGAGCCATAGTTACCAAGCATGTCTGGACACCAGCAGAGTTTGAGAAGTTAAATATCATAGCTGGCGAAGGGTACCACGACTAGAGAGCCTAAACAGAAGGGTAAGGGAGCAAGTTATCTAGAGGAATGTGGCGGCGGGTGAGGAAGGAACGAACATGCCCAAAACTAAGGTTCACAATTTTTTATTTTTTCGTCTC